TGTTTCTGTTTGTAGGTGAGGTCATTTTTAATGTCTCCTGTGAAGGACCCTCATGTAGAGCTCATCATTGTCATGTTCATCATACCACTGATTGTTAATGTAAGTATTTCACTTAGCCCCACCAAACACGTTCTGTTGGAGGAAATTGTTGGTTATTACAATGGTGAGATATAGGGTGAATGTTGGAGTTTGGATGAATTGATCCTTAAACACAAGTACGTTATGGTAGAAATGGTAAAATAATTTATCCAAAGAGAGGATATTCAAAGAGTGTCAAAAAAAAATCAATAAACAAGAAAGAAAGAAAAATAATTTGGGGGTATTTTCGATTTGATATGTATGCATGTGCTTGAAAAGCTTTAGGGAGTTTTGTTCTTTAATATATTAACTAAATTTTCACAATTTTTTTAATCTACAACCTTTTTGGTTTTAAGTTTAAATTTAACTGTTTCATCTTTTAAAATAAATAATACAGTTATTATTTGAGTTGATAAACTTTACACTTTCATTTTAGGCATTTATATTCTGGGTTGTTGACAACTTCCTGAAGAGAGAAATGAAAGGGACAAAAAGAATTTATGTAAGTGACAATGACCCTTCCGTCAAGTTCTACAAAATGACGGAACAGGTGCGCTGTTACAATCGAATAGAAAAAGCTGAGGACTTTATAGAATCAGATCTGCTTGTGTCGACAGATGAAGAAGGAGATGCCAGGCGCAGACTGGATGGGACGGAACGTCTTATCGCATAGGGCAGTCACAGAAACATCATTCATCACTGCTTTTTGTAATGTGATACAGCATGCCTTCACGCCAATCCTGACTGATTCACCTTCTGTAGTCACGCCCCTAAAGCTATTTTTTCAAAAAGTTGGCATTGTTCTCCTATGAGAGGTGAAATAAATGTGATACCAAAGGTTTACTGAAGCTTACAGACCAGAATTCAAACTGTTTGCCAGCTAAACATGGATCACCCGACACGGATGTTCATAATGGATACAGCTTTACTGGAATTACAAAGCCTTCCCCATGTAAAATTGTTTTGTTTACTGTAAATAGCTTTAGAGTGGTCCACTGTAAAGGTTCTATAGGCTGAAAGGTTTAACATTATACAGGTACTATATCACAGGTTCCACAATACAAAGGTTCTATATCAAGCAGGTTCTGTGTTATACAGGTCTTTTGTTAAAGTAGTCTGTTATACTAACTTTCTAGTTCTGTGTTAAACAAGTTCTAACAGAGATACAGTTAATATTGCACAAGTAGAACTTGACAAGGCCAGTGATAAATCTACATGCGAGTCCCAAGTCCTGTACTCACAGAATTTCTGGAATTAGTTAAATTTAACATTGTGGGACTCATTGTTTTTAGCAATACAGTTGAAAATAAATTGTAAATGGATCACTGCTGAAGGTCATAAAAAATCAAAGCAATTCGGGGGATCATAGAAATCTCTGTGTGTTTGATCTTTTTGAGATCAGATTTGTCAAGAGTTTCCCTACAATAAACAATATCTACACATTTATTTGAAGACTACATGAAGCAGTCAGTCACCAGCGTCATTTGTGTTACTCCTGATGCCAAGAGTTGAGCCAACACTTATCAGCACTATAAGTAATGTAAACTGTCAAATTATCACAAGTTTTGGAAGGATGATATAGAGTGGGGACCAGATCTGTATTTGACTCACCAGTGTAAGACACATGCTGATCAAATTACTGTAATTCATATCGAGAAACTTAAGTTTGACTTGTACAGATTTACTGAAAATGTATTTTTCTTGTGGTTTATTTACACATAATTGAGAAAAAATGTTTTTATTGCTTTTTGAATGATTTTTAAACTCGAGGTAAACCAGTCCCAATTTTGAGATGTATGGAGACATGCTCTAACATTAGGTTTTAATATTGTGTAAGATACCGTATATGTGCTTCAAAAAATCCATTAGACATTTTCATTCTGATAAGTCCTGTAACAAATTACATGTCTTTGTCAAAACAAAAAAGCATTTTGCACACTCAAAATCAATATAATAAATCCTGCAGATCTCGTCATTAAAACCTGAAATAAATCTGGATAGCTATCATACCACATCATAGTTTGTGATTGTATGGCCTCTGCATTAGTGCAGCTAATTGAGCAATCATGTCAAATGTGTTCAGAATCAGGTCTATTTAACAGTGTCTGTGTCATTACAAATTTCCCCATTACCAGTATCTACAAAAATACACATTTTTTGTTTTACAATATTTTAGNAATATATCAGGTGACCGTTAAGGCCCATGGGCCTCTTGTTTAGTTTCAGCTTTCATTGGATTAGCTAAAAGCTCCAGGCTGCATGTAAAATAAAAACATATTTTCAGTATAGATTCTTTAAAATATTGTTTCTCATGAAAATATACATTAGTTCATGGTGAAATTAGTTAGGTACTTTTTTCTTATATTTGTAATAATAGGGGGCATTGTAGTATAGAATCAAATCTTCCAAAAAATATGATTTCAAACTTCTGGGTTGTGCGACAGACTTTCATTATGTAGTTCATTCTCTTCAACCATTTATATATATCATATATATTTATTGATACCATCATTGTAAACAGTTCTATATGTGATATCTGGTGTTGTGTGTTGCCTTGTGTGCTTGAGCCAGATATGCCTTTATCTGAGNTTCCATTGACAAAGGTCAACAAAAATAGTGGCCGGTTTAGTCCCAATTCCCCAGGGGCCTGAGGGGCAGGGCCAAAAAGGGTTGAATTGACTGAAATTTCAAAAATCTTCTTCTC